CCTATGCTTTCAACAATGTCCACTTGCCATGGAAAAGGACATCAGAAAAGAACAATTTCACGAAGTTCTTTTCAGTTAAATGAATGAAACTGCCTTGTTTATGATTAAATGGGCCCGTTCTTCGAAGGTTGATATTATGTTCAAAATAGGAAGGGTTTAAGATTCTATCACGCTTTTAAATTTGTGCAAAGATCCAGGTTTCAGATGAAAAATTTTTTCAATTTACCTTATAGTTCCCTTTTTTTATTTTTGTTCATGCCACAAAACTTTACTAATGTTTAAGATCTTCGGCGGAAACTTTGAAGATAAAAGCCGTATTTAGCACGCGCACTCAAATACTTTTAAGCGCGCGCTAAACATCAAAAACACGTCACAGAGACGAAAGGCTTGAGTTTGGAAATTCTCAATAGAGCCTGGTAGTTGTGTACTGACAAGCTAGCCGTGAGCACAGAGAAGGTTTACAGACACAATTGATCGCAATCGAGGTTGAGCTTGTTGACTCACTGACCCTGATCGAGCATGCCTAAGAGAACTTCACGCCTCACAAAGAAGGCGAGGTCACGTCAAAACAAAAACGTGAATGAAAATCCGATTCGGAAATCGGACCAAAACTCAAGAAAGCGCAAAGCGGGAACTGATTCGCTTCCCGAGGGTAAAAGAAAACAGACAGAGAAGGAGATCGAGGTAAGTTAAAACAATTAAGAGTAGTTCTTAACCAGGCAGGACTTTCTAATCGAAATGAACTGACATGATTAGCAATTAGAAAATATCATATGATTAGCGAGGTGAAACAAATTAGATACATTTAATTTCATGAAGTCACGCGTCGTATCGCAACTTGTGAAGTTGATTTCATCCTTGAATTTTGTTTCCAGTAAACTTTAAATTTTAGCGATGGTGATAACTGAAAAACAATTAATTTTTGGTTTTGAATTTGTTTTTTATAGAATTTTATCAAGACTCAACGATTCTTCTGCAGTCCTGAACTACCGAGGTAAATGAAAAAATTGTCAACCTTTGAATTTGATATTAGAAAATTTTGGTGAGGGCAGTTACAAGTTATTTTTATGCTGTTGATAGGGAAAGCGAGTAGTTGCCTCCAAGTTGACATTGCTTTGCTTTTGTTTGACCATATTTTTGGAAAGTTGTTACGGAATGTGTGTGTAAGCTAGTTGAAGATGCCATCAGAACAAGCGTGTGTCACGTGTCCTTGAACCAAAGATTGAACGGCTCTCTCGAATCGTACGGTTGTCCGTTCTCGGTTTTTGTTATTCTGTCGTTCAGCACTTTAATCTGGAGAAATTCAAACATGTATTTTAAACTAACACAGTTTCTACCTGCCTTTTGTTCATTTTGCTAACGTAGCTTTCATTTCTCCGTGACTTTGAGTACTTTCCTCAGAGAGCAAATGGAGAAACTTTCAAAATCATGAAGCAGCTCCGCATTATTTGCATGCATCCTTCCGTGTTCTCTAAAGCATTGATGTCTGTCTCCCTGCTGTGTTCAGAAACTGGTTTCGCGCTCTAGTATAGAAGTTGAGATAAAATTTGATAAAAATTTAGCGAAGCAAACCTTTTTTCCCGAGTTACGTATTTTGGTTTGACTGCAAAGCATGTTTTCTCTGTTGGAAAACGATTCTCATAGAAACGGAAAAACAGCGTCGAAGGAAACTTTTTACGAGATGATATGGAAAGCATGTAGAAGTTAAAGGAACCACGTGGCATAAACCTTAAGCAGCTAGTTACCTAAAGACTCAAGTAAATAGTTTTATTAGAGTGATATTTCTTTTATCCTCTCAGGGAAAACTCCAATTGTGTAGGCATCATGCCTCAGACCAGTTCCTTGCAAGAGAGTAATAACTGCGGGGTTTCTTCAGAAAACTTTCCTAAGAAAACGAACTCATCTGAAGAAAAAAATGAAAATGTAAATCGGACTGCAATGAAATCGGAACGACCCTCTAGAAAGCGGAAAGCAGAATGTAATCCCCTCGCTGTGAGAAAACGAACCGAAATCGAGAGCAGGGTAAGTAAATGTTTAACTGATTGAGTGTTCAAACTTTCGTTTGCATAAGCTCATCGATATTTCCAATCGGTGAAATAAACATTGTATTATTTATCGTACTCGTGTATAAAGAGCAAAATACAATATAGTAACCCAGTACCGACTTCTGACTAGGAGAAAGTTGCTGTATAATTAGAAAGCAAGAGGTGAATATCAAGCGTTAATTTGACACCAACGCAGAGAGTCACCTTTCCTTATGTTCTTACAGGCTTCTCTCGGGAAACAAAAACAAGATGGTCATTGCAGCAGTTACAAAATATCACGGTAAGTAACAAAAACACTTGTTGAAAATTGCATTTAATGAAAGGATAGCTAACACTGTTGCTTCTTTTACCTTAACAGAAAAAGGTCAAGTTGTGCGGAAGCCAGGCGTCAGGGTAACTCACCGGAAGAAAATAATATCAGTGAAGAATTGCCTGATTATGAGGCTAACAAGGTAAAAAAAAAACAAGATGAGAGATTGATGATTAAGCTTAAATCCAGTACCCTGATCCACCTCCAAATTTAATCTCACAGTAGAACAAGATACTTTTTTAATATCTGGTTTATACTTGAGCACCTAAAGCTACGATAAAAATGCTTGTACTCATGTAATTGAGTCAGTTTTTTAGATGCTTTAAGTGCAAATGTTTTCAAAACTTGACCCGCTCAACTCATCAGCAGTAGTTTTGTGGCCTTTCGCCCAGTACCTCTCCCCTGGACGAGGATAAACGAGGAATTAGGAATTACAACAATAGTGCATGATCTCAGGAGAGAGGATTGGGAAGAGCCTGATCGAGATGATCTCGTTTTCAGAGTCCGCGTTCCTTTGACCAGTTGTTAGAAAACACTTTTCCGCGGGAGTAGAGTGACAAAGGCTTTAGAAATTAGTATTTCAGCTTATTCTTCCCTTAAAAATATCGCCTATGATCTCTGAAGGAAACAGACTTCATAAATGTACTTAATAATTCTTTTACCTTCAATAATTCGCCACATTTTAACAATACGAGACTTCTTTGTCGCCAGAGTTTTCCAGTACTCGAAGCTTTCTATCTGACTTTATGGTTACGTGTTTATGTTCTCAGGACCCTGATGAGCTCGAGTGGTTAAAAGATTGTAACTGTCCATTATGGTCACCAAGTTATGAGCCAAACTACGGCAGTTATGTGGAGGAAGTTAAAAATACTGAACCTCCTGACTACATCAAAGAACTGGCCTCTTCTGATGGTATGTTCATTTCATTTTTCTCATTACAGGAATTAAATCCTTTCTTTTCCTGAATTGATTTTTTTCAATGGGAGGTGGAAGCAGTCACGGACACTCTCCTCCATAATTTATAACTCCCCCATCGATCAAGGAAAAATTGACGATTTTCTACAATATGACAGCTCTGTTAATCTCAAATGCTAGTAAGGCGCTAGTGACGGACCTCTCCTCCCTACCCTACCCTTACTGGAAAATAATGTTTACCCAGGCCAGCTTTTGTTTATGTCGAAGCCGCTGAGTTTGTGCTAAATAATTTATGAAAACGGTATTTATGAAGCATATGAAGTGGACGATTATTCAGTATCAATATTTCCTCATAGTTATTTTAATAGTTGTTGGAAAATAGTTCTTGCGATATTCAATTAATCGATTGCTCATTTCGCTCCAATTTTAGCTGATCTTGCGAAATACGAGATAGGAAAACTCCTTGGATCTGGTTCATTTGGTCAGGTAGTTGCTGCGACTCGCAAGTCGGATGATAAACCTGTAGGTGTCTTAGTGTCTGAGTATTGAATAGGAGCACTATAACTTACTAGGAGTAAAGTAATCTTTTAGCGTGAGACTGAAACGAGAAAAAAAAATGAGTTTCAAGAAGAGTTCTAAATCTCAGAGCAAATGGTCGAACTCAAAGCTTGGCTTGGTTTATTTCCATGTGCTCTTAGGCGAGAAAGTTTAGTTTTACCGGAGTCTCGTCTCGCTAACTTAAAAGCGATATTTGAAACTAACAATCTAACATAACTGCGCTGTTTTAGTAAGGAAGGAATGAAAAGGGAGGAGGAATGTGAGTTTAGGGAAGTTGGTATCGGGGCTATTTCGCGCATGCGTGAGGTTAGTAGCTTATAATATACAAAAACAGAACAAAATAAAACCTCAACGTAAATCGTTCTCCCTAGGTGGCGCTTAAGTTTGTAAAGAGAAGTTCAGTGCAAGAGTTTAAAGAGGTTGGTGAAAGTTTTAGTTTATGTAAGAGAGTTTATGTTAGTATTTTTGTTTACGCCACTAAATAACGTGGATCACAGAAATAACAACGTCAATAACAATCGTATTGTGTAGTATCCAGTGAATAACTTCAGCGACAATGACCGTCGTGTCTAAGAGATAATTTTGAAGCAGAAAAGTGAACTGATTCAAGACCCAAAGCTACTTTGCATTTCGTACATGTTACAAGCAGGTTGGGATTGACTGGTAATGTTTGAGCACTTTAAATATTGGATTGTAGTGATTTAGTTAGCGTGCTCTTTCGCCGGAAATTTTGTTTTCAGAGAGCTGCTCATTTCTTACGCGAATTTCTCTTCACCTTACAAATAGAGTTGCATTGATAAGAATAAACATTTAATTTATCGTGATCGGGAATCAAAAATTTGTCTCGGCCGTGGACCGTCACGGAAACTATTGCATTCTCTGAAAGATGCGATTAGAAAGTTGATTGGTCTTTGATGGTGCTGTATCAAAATATATCACAGCTGCTTAGTCCAAACAATCAGCAAATTCCTGTTGTCGTTTACTTTGTGAGTGAAACTTGATCCGAGTAAGTTTAACTTGTATCAACCCTCTTGTCCTTTCTCCCCCCCCCCTTGTTACAGCTGAAAGGAAGACAAATCCCGGCTGAGGCTTATCTGATGAGTCGAGTGCATCACCCAAACGTCATCCAAATCTACCAGCTCATCTTCACAGAAGAACATTACTGTTTTGTTATGGAACGACCAGAATCCTGCAAAGACTTTTTTTACGTCATACAGGACCGTAACTCCGCAGGAAACCCACTGACAGAAGATGAAGTGAGACGGTACTTCACTCAGATCTTGGAAGCTAACATCACATGCGAAGAAAAAGGTGTTATACACCGCGACCTCAAGCCTGATAATATTTTGCTGGATTTGAAAAATGATGAGGTGAAGTTGATTGACTTTGGGTTGGCATCTGAGATACAAGAAGAGCCTTTTGATAGCTTTAGAGGTAAGAACTGTGCCATCAGAGAAATCAGTTTCAAGTTGTCTCAACTCAACATAACAAAGATAAATGACGCATTCAAACATCAAAGATCTCAGCAAGAAAGCCAGCTCAGTTCAAAGATCTTGTAGGAAAATGACCCTTAATTTTTCGAAGCAAGCTTCCTTATTCTTTCTTATCTTATCTTCGCTAATATTCATCATCTTAATTTGCCTCCCGTAATATTACATAATCTGGTTAAGTCGTACTTAGCATCACGTCACGTGACGGCAAGTTAGAGAGGAAGTGGAAGCTAGGGATATGGCGCAGCCAGGAGTACGGGTGGTGGCCAGAACCTCCACAAATTTATTTAATTTCTTCTTCCTTTGTTTTCTCTTTGTTCTTAAGTAAACTTACTATGAATAATATTCTTCTAGGTACGCAGTACTACATGCCCCCTGAATTCATGAAGACAGGTAAATATGACGGATGCGAGGCTACTGTATGGGCGATGGGAATCCTCTTGGTCGATATGCTGTCACCAGTTATTCCAGCATTTGAAAAACCACAACATTGTCTAAGCATGGAGCCCAGAATACCTCGACACTTGTCATCAGGTGTGTAACAGTTTGGTTAAGTGAACATTTGTAACACTGTCTTCATCTGCGTTCAATATCCTAACAAGCAAAAAAATCTTCGTGAATTCTGGTATGACAGTCGGAAAGTCTCGCCCTCGATTGACGGTCACGGTGTAAAGGAAACTGTTGTTGGGTCATTATTGGTTATCACCACTCAAGTTCTCTGAGGATAATTTCAGGAGCTACTTCGCCTTGACATAAATGAACTGGCTCCAGTTAATCAATCAACTAAGGGGAGAATCTTTGGGTTCCGAATCATTTCCCTTCAGTTAAGAGAGATCACGGCCCTAAAGGTCGTTGAAGATGATGCAGGGACTTCGAGAAGATTTTCCGTGAAAGTCTGGTTCAAAGGGAATAATCATCTATCTTTTCCTTTTTCAAACAGAGGTGAAGAACGTTGTTTATATGTTGTTGAATCCCGAAGCAGATCAGCGACCAACTCTTAAACAAGTTCTCCAGCATCCCTGGTTCTCAATGGAAGTCTAAACTCCTCTCTGTATTAAGGACCTTGTTTGCTAATTACGAGATATCTTTAACATTTTGTTTTTTAGTATGACTGATTATTTGTAATCGGTAAAATTGCCTTGTGAAATTGTCTGTCGTTACTGAGAGTCTGTAACAGTGGCCTTGAAATGTCGTGTAGTAAGATTAGACAAGAAAAACGTAGATTGTCCGACAGGGTTGAATAATGTCAAACCAGTTAAAACGGTTTAGCGCAACTAAATGCACACACTACCTGAACTAGTTCATATAGAGGAAAAAAATGCATACAGCAAAATGGTGAGTCTGAAAGAGGAACATAAATGGGTCCTAATGATTCATAGCAAAATAGAGTCCCTTGAAGGGATCTAATAATTTTTAGCGAAATGTATAACCTAAACATGGATGCTAATGATCCTTAGTGAGATAGAGTCCCCAAAAGGGACCTAATAATTTTTAGTGAAATGTATAGTCTATACATGGGTCCTAATGATCCTGAAAGGGACCTAAAAATTTTCGTGAAATGGACTATATACACGGGTCCTTAAAGTAAAGTACAGCGAGATGGAGAGCATGTTTATGGATCCTCCAAGGGGTCCTAATAATTTGGAGCGAAATATTGAGTCCACAATAGAGCTCCTACAATGTACAATAAAGTGGACAGTCTCCTTCATGGCCCTTGCAGACCTTGTAGCGTGATGTTGTGATAAACAAGGCCTCACTCCGTGAGAAAACCTTCTATGTACATTAAGATTTTTTTAAAATTTTGCTGTAATTTTAATTGAAGTGTAAATAAAATGTCGCTCTTGGAAAAGAGTGTACAATACGTTAAAATCTTTGTTTTCAAAATATCATGAAGAGCCAAGGGCCCGTTTCGATAAAGCATCAAGGCTTTATCAACTCATTCTCTATGTCTCCCTTGTTGGAAATGTATAGAACAAAGAAATTATACCTGTGTATATACCTTGGTTGATTTCTAGGTGAACCCTCGAGCTTTGTTTGCAAGAACGCTAAATTAAATACAAACCAGGGAAGTTTGTGTCTGGATAAATTTGGCTGAGCAAGATGGCCAATTTTTTTGGTCTCAAAATTAACCTTTTATGATTAATTATTAGGAAGTTTCTACTTGTTAAGCTCTAGCAAAGGTGAGAACACGATAAAAAATGCGAGTGCTGGTATTACATAAACACATGAACAAAAAGAGAAGGAGGAACCGATTGGGGAGTCAAACCTGCTTAGTGTGTCAGGTCTAAAGACAAATAGGAGAAACTCACGTAAAATACCACGTCTTAAACTGATCGCTGGAGACTCGTGACTCCTGCGAAAAGAATTAACTTTGAGACAGAAAAAATCGGCTATCTTGCACAGCTAAAAAAAGCGGCCATCTTGCACCGCTAAATTTATCCAGACAAAATTTTCCCTTACTATTTTCCTCCAATCAGAAAGGTGTTGAATCGAATCCTTGTATGATACTTGTCGTTTGATGAAAAAAGTTAACTCTGTAATGAAATGCTATGAGCATATCTTAACTTTTAGAAGACGAGGATGTCAATCAAAAACTAGTAGTTTCCCTTGTATTATTTGAGAGCTGTACATTAATTTCTGTTTCTTGAAAGACTTATTTACAGGTAGGGTCCGTGCTGCTGTCTTGTGTTTATTTTTCTAATGCAGGTAATTTTGTGCTTTTTCATATTTAAGTTAAATATTTTTAACTGCTGAGTTTAAACTCTTGGATCATTGTTTGGCTTCTCTGTCACGTTAATGTTACAAATTAGGTGTAATGATGCTTAAAGTAAAGTTGGCGACAGTCCATAGAAAACCACAAGGCTTTGAATGATTTGCTCTCTCTATCATCCGCAATTTACGGTTCAAATATCACATTGATGAAAAGATTGGCGGAGCAGAAATAGAACAGAGCTCTAATGGCATCAATTATATGTATTTAAGAACTTTCAATTGATTGAAATATTTTTTTCCTTATTAGTACTTGAATGTACTTTAACAATGACACGTCTGATTATTTTTATGTAATATGTTATGTTAAGGATATCGATTGATTAGATCAATTTTCAATTACTTTGTGTGCCTAGTTACGATCGTAGTTACAATGTTTATCTTTTTCCCTATTGGTTTGTAATCGGATATTTTAGCGTCACCACGCGCATATAAAAGCTAAATTAGCGTCCCTATGAGCCAGAGTTTCGCAAGATTTCGCCTTGAACAGCAATAACTTCGTTCTTTCGTTCCAAACCTTTGGCACAAGCGGGACCGATATGTAAGTGATTTTGTTAGTTTTATTTCAATATGTTTAAGTTTAGTTTTTCACCTTGGGCGATAGCGCACATATGTACTGTGTTGTACAACAGTACAACTAATTATCTCAGTCGAAAAAAGTTCTGATTCAAATGATCTTGACTTAATACGACATGTCAATTAAGCATCTTTGTAATATGACGTCCGTATTAAAATCGAAGAGATTAAAACAATATTTCCCTGAATTGTAACAAGTGAATTTAGGTACTAACTCATCCACTTCTAAGACTATTAAGCCTCTGTGTAAAATTAAACCACCAGATTCTTCATCACTGTCAGTTTCATTTGCAGTGTAAGCGATTGTCAGTAATGGTGCGTTTGTGTCTTTATTTTGGTATGCCTAATCATGTTCCCTTGGATTGCCTTTCCTCGCAACCTGATAGTTACACAAGAATCAAATAAAATACAAGTTTACAGCACGTATCCAGTATGGCAGATCAGTGCGGAAACAGCCAGTCCTTTTCAGTTGGGTTGATAAGGAGACAACCTATAGGGACTGAGTCTGCTGGGAAATGTTTGGTAGAACTCAAGAATACCGTTGATGGGCGGTAAGGAGCTATGTAGTAACAACCTTTCAGCTCCCACGAGGTTGTGAAAGACAAAACGTCCATCGTGTAATGTTAGCAATCTGATACCAAGCACCGTGTGGATGTTTTTCGTGAGTGTCTGGAGATGGCAACAGGTGTTGAGATAGAGAAAACCAATTCGAAGTCCTCAAGCAGCCAGAAAGTAAAGAAGGACGAGAGCCCATCCTTCACTAAGGACATTAGTGGACATTTGGTGATGTATATTTGTCACTTTTACTTCTTCTGCTACTGTTCTTTAAATAACTCAAAAAACTTTGTATCACACATTCTACGATTTCTCTAAATAGAAATAACGCTCTGTCCCTAATGAGCGCCCTCCCTGGGGTAGAAATAACCTCCCCAAATATGTCAAATATTGCTGATTTAGTTGCAGTTGCCTTGGATTGATTCAGGTGGCTGGAAGTGTCCGGCTGCGGTGAGGTTGTATTCACCAGATCGAGAAAATTGTGCATTCGATTCTTTGCCGCCATGGATACATTTAGTAAACAAAAAGAGTTTAAAAGCTGATTAAGCACAACTTCATTAAACTCATCAAATCAGTCAAATTCTAATTCTAAAGATGTTTCACTCACTTTTACTTTTGTTTCTCTGTTAAATACTGATATAACACAAATAATATGGTTGGATATTCAAATTAATGGGAGAAAAATAAAGTTTTCGTGTTTAACCTTTACCCTAACTACCTTAGAAGTAACTTACTCCAGTAATGATGGGTTGTGATGTACTTCAGTAAAAACTGTCTTGTTGCAGTGAAGGTAAGGTGACTTTGTCAAGCCAAATTAAAGCTGTTTGACTGAGTTATTTTTGAGTCCGATTATGCTATAACAATTATTTCACTCAGACTCGCCGAATATGAGATTATTAAAAGCAAATCGATGCTATATGCCTCGTGCGTTAATTATCAGCTCATATTCGGCGCGCCCTCGAAAAATAATTATTATTGAAGCAGAAGTGGGTTCATCCGTTCCTGAGTTGTCAATAACCTTGACAGTATGCACAAAAATCACGAAGGAAATGTTTTCCAGCCTTTTATCCTATTTTTTTAAGAGACGAACGTGCGCTTATAACCCTTGCTCCCAGGTTTATCAATGGTAACCTCAGACCAACTCTTCAAATAACCTCATATGCATCACATACGCATCAATGTCATATGATACATACAAGCAAGCGGAAGAACCAAAGCTCCAAAAGCCGTTTACTCTTGGATAATCACACAAGTTGCATATATCTCGTATAATTTTATGACAGCCTTTTTTTTCCCAGAACTCTCCCATTTTTCCTGGCTCCACAGCGTTTCTCTGACTCTCCTCATTCGGATGGGACGCCTGGAACAGAAAACACCATCGTGGAGATAGTCCAGAGTTGAAGGAGAATAGTCGCTGAAATGTTATTGAGACTCTGGGAAGTATGACTTGGACAAGAATAAGACTTTAGATAATTCCCCTTACACAGGCTTCTGGTTCAGATTGTTATGGACTGTGATGTCGTTTTAAGTAAAGAGCTGATATCTTGCTAACGTCCATAAAATTTCTCCTCAAAATTCAATCTCTTTTCTATGAACTGAACAAAAATACGTTTGAAAAACAATACACAGTTTAATAAAAAGGATTTCTTTGCCACATTTACATTTCATTAGTTTCAGAATAAACGTTATTGCTACTTGGATGACCTTGTTTTATGCTTCAAAATTGCCATTATACGTTAATTTTTTGGTTACTCTTTTTCGTTTCAATCCACAAAAAAATTTTGGCTTTAGTGTTGTTTAGTGCTAACTTAAGAAAGCGTGTTTTTTTTTGTTTTTTTGTTTGTTTTTTTTTCTGTTTCTATGGACAGGAAAGTTTCGGCTTCAGTTTTAATTTTAAAAGTAGTATTTCTGAAAACATTTTTTGGGATTTATTTTCCTTTTTTTCTTTTTTTTTGAGCCGGTCATCGAGTAGCGTGATACATCTTAGTTCCAAGTTGCAATACTTTGTAGAAAAAAAAATGATTCATGGAGCATCCTTTCCATGTGCCTCCACCTCTTAGTTCCTTCTTCGTCGTCGTCTCCGTTTGTAGGGTTCACTTTGTGCCCGTACTTCAGTCTATGGCAAAAATGGCAAGTAAGTA